GAAGACGGTGGTGGACAACAACGCCAAGTATACAATCGCGGGCCAACCGATACCAACCATGGGGCCCACCGACAGTATAAAATACCTGGGCGTGGAGATCAGCGCCTCCGGCGTGCTCATGTCGGCTGGAAAGAGACTCCACAAACAACTAACAGAGACAGACCGAGCGCCTCTCAAACCGCAACAGCGGCTGTTCATCCTGAAGAGGCACATCATACCCGGGATGACACACACACTCGTCCTAGGGAAGACGAATATCACCAAGTTGAAGGCCATGGACATCACCATCCGCACCATGACCAGGAAATGGCTGCACATACCGAAGGACACCCCGGTGGGCTTCTTCCACGCAGCGCTGGAAGACGGGGGTCTCGACATCCCGGCCCTAGTCGATACCATCCCTCGGCTAGTGAAGAATAGGCTTGCAAAACTCAATGACAGTGACCACCCGAACATCAAGTTGGTCACCCAATCAGGATACCTGAGTCACCGCGGCGGAGTGGCGAGCGGGGCCATGACGGCTGACGAGAACAGAAGGAAACGCGCCCAGCAGCTGCTCTCGTCAGTTGACGGGAGAGGACTGCACGCGGCGAAGAACTGCCCAGCCTCCAACCGCTGGATAGATCAAGGTGGTCATGTGCAGACAGGAACCGGATTTGTGGGATCCATCCTAGTGAGGGGAAACCTCCTATCCACGGCCGTAAGACGGAGCAGAGGAAGAGGTGGTGGTACGCCGCCGAACTGCGACGCCGGCTGCGGCAAGCGTGAGAGCCTGGCGCATATAAGCCAGACGTGCATACGCACCCACGGAGGGAGAGTTCGCCGCCATGACAAGATCGTCAATTACACGGCTGAGATCCTGCGGAAACAGCACTGGAAGGTCCTCGAAGAGCCGAGGATCCAGACCGCAGAAGGTCTACGGAAACCGGACATTGTGGCGTCAAAGGGCCCGGTCACCAAGGTCATTGACGCCCAAGTCCTGGCGGATAACGCAAACCTGGAGACGCAGCACAAGAAGAAGGCCGACTTCTACGACACCGACGACATCAAGACATGGATCAAGACGGAGACCACGAACCAGAACCAAGCGATCAGCTATACCACCATCACTCTCAACTGGCGCGGAAACTGGTCGCGGACTTCAGCAGCTGATCTCCAAGAACTCGGAATGCACAGCAAGAACCTAACGAAGATATCAACGATGACGTTGGAGGAAACCGCGTGGATGCACAGAGCCTTCAGACGGACAACGGTGGGTCGTCGCGGCCGGGGGGTCGCGAGTGACGCTCACGGCCGATGACGCGGCCGACCCGCATCTGGGGACTCCCCCGGGGAGTATAACCCGGGAAAACTACGTCAGCCATCGGGCTGATCTTGTGATAAATGTCTTGTGTAATGTGTCCTATGTCCGTTGTTTATGAAAATAAATTTTAAAAAAATATATGACAAATGAATCCCGAGAAGATATGCTCGAGGACTACCCCAAAAATACCGCCCTTCAAGCCGACATGATGTCGGGTACAAAGTGAAATGGTTAAGTTGGTGCGTTGGGTCCAAATCTGTCACAGAGACCGGCAGATCAAACCGATCCCTTAATTTTACAGACGCATGTATAAACGAGCCTCCTTACCCCGGTAGACAGCCAGGCAGACCGACTACCGATTTTCAGACACCCGTTTATACATGAATCTGTGGATCTGAGTTTCTGAAACGGCCGGGCAGACCGATCCTTCCACTGCGATCCAGCGACACACCCGGCCGCGTCCAATGCTGGAGCCCAACTCCCCGCACCGCCGCGACCTAACCCGACTACAGCTCGAACCAAGGCCCTAAATACAAGGTTGCACGGACTTATTTCTACTAAACCTACCAGAATATAGTTTCACGGTTGATTATTTAAATAATTATTCAATCAAAATTTATTTATTATTATCTCGTAATCATTTATAAGCAATTTTATAAATCAACTTTCAATTTGCTTGCCTTTTACTAGCAAAATAACTTTTCTAGTATTGGGTCAACATAGTGGTGTAGCAGTAGGAACCACATCTGGCAAAACCCCAATCCCTACATACAGCAGAAAAGCAGCCACCAGGTGTCGCCACAGTCGCCACTTGGTCGCCACACAGATGTCGCGCGCGTCGCCAATCGCCACACTACCGATTTCCATAAGGACGCATATGTACGGATATGTATTGGAAAGTCGCCCTTAAGGATTACGCTTACATCCTTTGCTTATGAGGTCGGTGGTTGGAAATTGGGAGGGGCTCAGCTATTTTCGACCACGGATATGCCTTTATCACAAGATGAGGAACATGCTGATAAGCGTTTTATGCGTCATAACAGCACAAAAGTATTTTTAATCATTTTTCAAAAATAGCCGTTCTGCCGTATCTTTCAGTGCAAGGTGCCGTCGGTCATCCCCGACGTGACGTCACGCAGGGAATTTGCCAGATTTTCCTACTAGACTTCGACACCCCCTGGCTCGAACCACGTGATTCAACCGGCCAATCCCGAGGCGCGCGTGCCCCTGAACCAAGGCTATATAAACCAGGTAGAACGCTCCGGGAAAAAAGTTGGAAACAATAAATCAGTTGCGGCATCCCCTGATGACGCGATTGTGGGTCAGCGGCCGGCGGCCGGCGGCCGCCAACACTGTATGAGGATGAATGCGCGGAACTTTTGCTTGTTGGAGATAGCGCTAGGCAGTTAAGTGTTAATGTTAGGATATGTTTCGAAAGTAAATTGAACGACGCTTTGAACGCCGTCAATGAATTTGCGATACGACGACTATTTGTTTAGTTAGAGCCGGCGAACTTTTAAAATGTGGTATCATTCGATGCATCTTGTAACGGCGCACGCTCGTTTTTTTCCGCAAGGTTCTAGCTCCATTAGAGGCGAAACGGCGAGCTGGGGTCGTACCGACCCCCCGGAAACCCATTTTGTATGCATTAAAAACCTATAGAAAGAACACCTTTCTAATTTTTTGCATGTCGATTTTAAATGACCTGAAGTTTAATTTGAAGAAATGAAAATGGCAAAATTTTGGTCCCAAGGGCCATTATAGACAATTTTTAAAAATATTACGATTTTTTTTTCTCAATATGTAAAGCTTTTCTTGCCAATTTTAAAAAGCTGTATTGATCTTTGATTCATTGTTAGTTCAAAGCTGTTTACCGTTTGTTGTTTGCTTAGCTCGTTTTTGAGTTAAAGCTCATCAAATTCACCCTTACAATCTGAAATTTAGAAAATATTATGCAATATAACTCAAAAAGTTTTCATCTGAGAAGTCTAATATTTTGGCAGGTGTTTTTGGAGCCAATGATTACCCCTAGTACCAATTTTGGTCTCGGGTTCATTGGTGACCCCTGAGGTCATTTCAAGTGACCGAAATTACGGGTCCGGTTTTTTTTTTTTGATTCGCTTCGCATTTGATTCGCAAGGTCTTCCCGAGCCCATTAGTAGCTTTCCCGTCTCTCTAGCTCAATCTGATCGAGAGTTCTTGATGAAAAACTCTTATGACCCTATTGACGTACGAATGACGTCACGCAAGGTCAACAATGCAAAAGTGAGGCAAAAATGACTTCAATTGAACTGTCAATAACCAGTGATGTCACTAGGCAGCTTTACCACACCATTTGTAGTCTCTCTTCCGAAATCACAATTCGAGACCATTACGGTGACGCAAAATAAGTACATTTATAGAAAGAACACCTTCCTAATTTTTTGCATACTACTCAAAAATGATCCAAAAATGTTTTTAAGTAAATAGAAATTGAAAAAATGGTACCAAAGGCATAAAAATGTAAATGAAAGGAAACTCGAGGTGTTATATATCAAAAATAGTATATATTTCAAAATTTTAAAAATGCATATTTTTCTTTGTTTCAATGCAAGTTCAATGCCGTATAGCATTTGGCATTTGGATTATCCGTCTTAGAGTTACAGCCCGCCAAACTTGGGGCTGCAACGCAAGATCCAAAACATGTTATACACTATAACTCAAAAACCACCCATCTGATAAGCCTGAAATTGTTACAGGAGGATTCAGAGCCCCTGATTACCCCTTAGACCAATTATCGTTAAAATCCGAGAGATGAGGGTGTCAAATTGGAAAAAAGTGGTACGATCTATCGTGGAATGCCCCTCCTACCAAGCCAACAGAAAACAACACCCATGGTCTTTACCGGCCCCCGCCGAAGTTAGTTGGTAGCACTGCTGCTCCACGGCGTACATTTCCTACCAGCCCATAGGGTTTACATGTTTAATGGCCTGTTTTCGGCGAGCGACATCTCGGTCAACCTTTGCAGGAATCAATGGTTCTTAGTCTCAAATGATAGATCGATGAATTTTCTTTCGACAATTCCTCTACCATTTTTCACGAAACCCAGCCGATCTTCTACGGCGTACAGGGTAAAGATTTCCCTGCACGCCAGCACCCGCGATCCGCCTCTCCGATCGTCGGCGCGCGGTCCTCGATAGCGCAGTCGGTAGCGTATCGGGCTACGGATCCGAGGGTCGTGAGTTCGAATCCTGGGAGCGCCGCGTGATTTTGGCGAGAATTGAATGATGTAGATTCTTGAATGTTTGCGTAATCAATTATTAATAGCTAATTGAATGTATCTGCCCACTAATCGGCCCCTAAAACCTGTTATTTAAGAAATTAAAGAAATGAATGTCACGTGCGCGTCATGACTGCCAACCATAAGCGCTACCACATTCTAGTTTGAACTAACTTTTTGCTAGTTCCGACCACATATAGTAGGTTTTCTAGTAGTTATACTAGAAATTCCTACCAAAGTTCGTCCTACCCTTCACTCAATATACCCTGGTCTTTACTATGCGGCCCTCAAGGAATCACATTAGCATTGCCAATCTACATATTTGAAGCAAAACAGTGAAATGCGCGACCCTCGTTGCTGGTGCGCCCTATACAACACCGACAGTTAAATGCTGTCGCCTTGCCGCCAAATATTTCATCTCTTCACAGACAGCGAACAAGAACTGCAAGAAGACTTAAACACAAAGAGGACAAGAATCCCCAAGCGCCTTGAGTACGGGGACAGCACAGAATTTACCGACTCGGAAGCAGAGACCGAATTTGAGACCGAGGTCATCCCGGTACGTATAGACATGTAGGCTAGCAATTAATACAAATTGCATATTTATGGGTACCTTGTTGAGCTTTTACTAATGACTTAAAACTCAAAAGTCGCAATTTAAGTAAAATAACTCAAAAGTACCGTTCCATTTTAGGGATCACAGCCCCCCGTGAAGGGAAGGCGGGGAGTTCAGAAAATGGGACAGCCTGAAAATGAAGTGGAACGGGCGCGGCTGAACGCCATCATGAATGGTGAACGTCCAGACAAGACAGGGTAAGCTATTTCTTAAATATCATGCATAGTTGCATGATCATTTGAAAGAGATATGTTCACCATGAAAAAGTGGAGTGGATGGTTCCAAAACACTTGAAAATAGTCGATAATACCTTTATTTCAGAAATAATTTGGAAATAATTTACTTCAGAAATAATTTGGGTCCCTTTTAATTTATTTTTAAAAAAATCACAGCATTGCGAATACTCTCTGGTAACTTACAATTTAACTAGAAAACAGCTTTGGTTCATCAACAACGGCTTCGGTTAAACGGCTTTGCTTATCAGCAAAGCTACTGGAAAAATAAAAACAAACGCTCAAAAGGGTTTTTGGTTTCTTATTTGTATCTTGGTTTTTGTTTGTTTTCCTTGACAACCAGCAAACAAAAACGCGCAAAATGTATGAGGAAAGGTGAAAGCCTTATTGAGTTCTGCAGCTTGAAACGTCAAAGAATTTATATTTTTTAGGCGAATGGTTCCGGATCATGTGGTTTTAGCATATAACGAGCATAACTGCTATCTCAACTCCATTCCCCATGTTAGACATGAACATGTCCCTTTAAGTGAAGACTAGATTGGTCGATTAGCTATCTACAGAACTCTTTGTACAATTTGGTAATACTATGCATCGTAGCGTGCGTATATCTTGCAAGAATTTGTACCGAGCATGCCGACACGTTATTTAACAACTGCTTCCTATTAGGTAGCAGATTGCACAATATGTGTTCTGCAAATTGGCCATTTACCTCTCAAATTTGTATACCACCAGCGCGTCAGCCAGTGATGAGCTGACATAAGCGAAAGAAACCATAAAAAAGGTGGAGGGGGAGCTTAACGCTGCTGTCCAAGAGGTCGTCCTGCTCAGAAAACTAAACTACAGACTTCAAGCAGAGCTCATGACTATATGTATGCATGCTACGAGAGGTGAGTTCTATCAACATCGGTACTAAAGGAGAGCGGATAGGCGTGGGCTTCATCAAGCCAATTTCCATAAAACAAAGCATATGTCTGATGTCTCTCACTTTCAGACTCAAGGAAGCCGAGCAACCAAACCCCCGCACGCATTGAAAAGGCGGCGACGGTGTCTCCTCGGAAACAATCCGTATGCAGGGACGAGGCCCAGACTTCCGGGAGTCACGTAAGATTACTGAATTTGGAGACACATAGTACCTACAATATACTAGGTCGTTCAATAAGTAAGGTAAAATGTACCATAGTTCATTTATATGAGGAATTCCAGCAAAATCCGATACGCCATCTGAATCTTTGAACAATTTTCTACACAACTTTCGAAACTGTTTTTGGGAATTTGGCTCATTGTCCGAACACGGTCGGTGTGAAAACATTGATGCAGCAGAGTTCCGTTCTAAAAATCCCCGGTTTGTTACGCGAGCCAAAATTCACCTCAAAATGAGTGAGTTGACCCTGATGACGCTATTGCCATTAGCAATGTTTGCTGGTGAACAGTTGGTACGACAACTTCAACATGAACACAACAGTGTAAGAGACAAATTTTTAGAGCAGGTAGACTTGTGCCCGCAGGCCTCTCTGGACTTGGCACAATCTGTAAAGTCGGGGAGCTGATTATGGAGACCCAAAGCATCTGCGTGACTGCTTTCATTAACAGGGTGAAGTGTTATGTCGAAACAGTTCTGGGCATCATCAGATATGCTTGATATTTACAAGGTCATCACGAGGTTAATACAGGAAGAGCTCACTGAACAACAGAAGGACGCCCGGCGAGGCATCAGTGTGGGATCGGCTTTGCTTTAGCAGTACAGGAAAGCTGAGGCACAGCCGTGATCTGGCGTCGTCCCACTTGAACCTGTTTGGACCACCGAAAAACCTGCTGTGTACGTTGGAATCTTAACTGATCAGGCAATCATGAAAATAATCAGGACATGGCTTTGGAATAGCAATGAGTTTTCCAAGCAGGACTTCAACGCCGGGTGGAGTGCTGGGATAAGCGCGTGCGCCTGAACGGTGATTGGATGTAGGCTCAAGTTCCGAAGGCTGGGGAGGCTGGCCGAAGAGACCTGCTAACAAATGCTTACAGCCAATTTGTAGACGATATTTCAATGAACATATGTTGCTAGTTTTGTGTCGTTGCACCAAATGTGGACCGAAATACGTGTGATTTTACTTTACTTATTGAACGACCTAGTATATTCCATCATTCCATCGACATGGTGTTTAAAACTGAGCGTTGTTTGTCACTCGAGCTGAAACACGTTTATCTCTAAGTGCTTTGGCAAGGAGCATAATATTTAAGTAGTATTGTTTTTTATCTCGACCTTCTCCTTGTTGATAGATAGCCAAATATTAAAAAAAATATTTAAAAAAATATTGTAAGCGCATATTTTGCTCTACAATAGAAGACATTCGCCCGAGGCTAGTGACGAAGTACGAAGCACTGCTAAACAAGGCCAGGACAAATCATGCAAAGTCTACGAGTGCAACAACTAGTTTGCACCATAGTACTGCAGAAGATGGCAATGACAAACCAGCGGTGGCGAGAGCCAACAACCTTTCCTCGTTGACTCTGAACTCCCACACAGAGAATCTCCTGGCAAACGGGCCAAAGTTTGGTATCACGCCTAAGCTGGATCGTCGGTTCATCGCTGATATTGAGAAGAATATCGAAAGATATGCGTATAGCAAAAGGTGGGCAGACGAAATACAGCGTGCGAAGAGAGAAAGAAATCAGAACGCGGACACCCGTGGCCTCCCTGAGCCTCAAGTTGAAGATGTTGGCGCTACATCGAGTGTTGTATCTCAAGTAGGTAACGGCGCCGCTACTTTAAATCTGCTCAGCGATGCACGTTTTCCAGACGAGACCAAAACACAACCCCCTATGTCTGATAGAGACAGAAGAACGGCTAGGCAAACTCAAAAGCTCGATTTTGAAAGTTTATCGACAGCATGGGAAAACCATCGAAAACGTCACTAAAGAGGAGCTAGACGGTCTAGAAGTGTTAAAAACGAACGACAACATCGTAATCAAGCCGAGCGATAAGTGCAAGGGCCTGGTTATTTTGGACAAGGCTGATTATGTGAAAAAGGCGAATGATATTCTCGATGACGACACGAAATACGCGAGACTTGAACAAGACAAAACAGCGAAAGTGGAAGCTGCTACCAAACGAATCTTCAAACAGACAGTTCGAGGAAAACTGCCGGATAGAACTGTCGAAGTCCTAACTCCAAACCACAGTCGGACACCAGTCTTCTATGGGCTACCAAAGGACCATAAGCCGGGCGTCCCACTCAGGCCGGTCATCGCAACGTGCGGCGGACCGACGGAGAAGACGTCATGGATGCTGGATAAAATCCTACAGCAGCTGTTGACGTTCGTCCCTCACCACCTGGTGGACACCGACGACTTCCTTCGGAGACTGCGACAATTCTGGGGTGAGCAGCCGGTTCCGGCCACTGCTATATTCTTCAGTATAGACGTTGTTAACCTATACGGCAGTATCCCTGTAGACGATGCTGTGGATGCAGTCCGAGAGGCTTTGGAGCGTCACTATGATAGCATAGATACTGCTGGTCTCCGTGTAGAGGACATATGTGAGTTACTGCGTCACTGTCTAAAAAACAACATTTTTAGATTCGGTCATCAGTTCTACTTGCAAAAAGAAGGTATAGCTATGGGAAACCCGGTCGCTCCAGCTGTAGCTGTTTTGTATATGGATCGTTTCGAAAGGAGGGCGCTGGAGGGAGCAAACTTGAGACCGGATTTCCTGGCGAGATATATTGATGACTATGCCGGGGTCTGGCTACACGGCAAGGATACTCTGAATGATTTCGTCGCTTACCTGAACGGCATAGATAGTAGAATCCAGTTTACTTGTGAGATGTCGGGAGAGGGGGAGGGGGAGGGGGAGGTACCGATGCTAGACACTTTGATTTCGCTGCGCCGCGAGGGTCAGGCGTGCGTATTTCAGTCGGAATTATACATGAAACCTAACAATGCAGGAATCATCATTCACTATCGTTCAGCCCATCCAAGGCACATGAAACTGAGTACCCTCCGAGCACAGTTAAAGGGACTATCCCACCTTTAACATGGGGTTTGAGTTGAGATAGCCCAGGGGGGCGACACGGCTATTCGCGCAATGTATTCATTTATGGGCCGCGCGGGGCCTCGCGATGACGCGGCTGGAGGCAACTGCCCAGCGCGCTAGGATACTTCTGGCGGGGCCGGGCGCTGAACGGTATGCAATGAATGGGTTATGGTCGGGCAGACAGAGATGAGGCATTGAATTTGAATTGACATCAGCAATCGGGTGGGGAAGGAGAACGTTTCTAATCGAGCTTGGGATGGGGAAAGCCGAAAATATCACGATCGGCTCATAGCTCCGACAGGGCCGGGTGCTGTACCATGTGTAGTATATTTAGGCGGGCAGACAGAGATGAGTTATTGGATTTAAATTCACCTTACCATCGGTTTCTGGTGAGGTTTGAAGACGTCTTTAGTCAAGCTCGGAGTGGGGCAACGGCCACTGGCGGATCCGGGGGAAGGCATTTGGGGCAAATGTCTTCCCCAACAACCATAGGGCAGCGCCCGAAATCGATTTTCGAGAATAAATGAAAACTTCACAACTTTTCTGAGGAAATGTTGGTTAATCACACCGCACAGCAGTCGCAAGGAATCGAAATCTGAGTTTTTTAAATTAATTCCGAGAAACCTTTTTGGGTAAGCCCCCGCAGTGTCCAATACCGCTTCCTGGATCCGCCAGTTGTGAATAAGTCACGGTCGATACCGAGCTTCGGCGGGACCAGGCGCTGTACACGTTGTTCTTTGAATGAAGAGGTGGACAGACACCTAGCCCCACATCCTACTGCTATGCCCGTGCTTCTGTGGGTGAAGCACTAAAGCATCACGGAATCCCAGAGGACCCATGCGAGTCGACGAGGTGGCCGCTTTGGCCGCCGGGTACTGCAGCTCCCTGGAGTTGCCTGGGACCGATGGCAAAACAACAGCTCCGGCATGGGCCGTAGTAATTAGTGAATTCCCGTAATGTGTAGAGATCATATCCTCAATGATCTCCATTACCATTTTATATTCCTAAACAATATGACAGACCAAAATTATGCTTGCCTACGTTCAGGCATTACCTCTGATGGTCATACGCCCAGTACAACATGTGTTGTCTGTCAAACAACAATCGACGACGGGATCCCTTCTCATCATATTAAGCCATCGGTTGTCAATTCACCCACCCCGTTTCCCTAAAAATAGACGGTCAGATTCGGCCTGGGTCCTTACGACCCCTCTAAATTCGCCAGAGACGGGATCGGATCGCCGTTATTACTTATTGCACCCGTCTTAGTGTCTTAAATACTATGACAGCTTCGACCACGGACGTCGGACGGGGTGATCGTTCCACGAATGTACGCACCATCCAGGCCTAGGATGCATCGAGGTTTAAAAGGATGCAGTCTGTAGATCAATCAACAAACAATGGTGGTATGCAACCACTTTAAAATATCTCCCTGGCTCCCGCAACGTTCCAACACCCCTCCGTTATGCATTCGCCCTGTGTGTCCGCCGAGCCGGCTTGCCTCCAATGACGTCATCGGCCGGCCGGCGGCGTTCAAGGTCAAACGGCTGGTGTCCTTACCTGGAGTTCTATAGCCTTGAGATAGCCAAGTTTGCGGCGAGGTTCAGAAACCACTATCTATCTAGGTTGCAACCCCCGCGGCCTCTTGGTGTTGAAGAAATTCGTTCCCTTCATTTGAAAATGGGCCTTGTACAAGGCCCTATCTTCAACATGGAGCGACCGTTAGTGTGACGTCACCTCGTTTAGTCATTCTGATTTAAATGGGTTTGTTCGTTGAAAAATCGCTTAAAACTTGGTCTGAACTTTGTTGTGGTGCCTACAGCGT